AGAAATATTGCAATTGCCTCAGCCCACTTTCAATAAGGGATCTCTAATGAAAGTTGCTCTTTAGGCTTAACCTAGAGCGGTGACCTGTGGGGAAAATTGAGTCTTTGTAAAATGTGTTACAGTTTACTACTAAGAATGCAGAAGCGGCACAACTGATGAACCAGCAAATCTGCTCTGACTTACTTAGACGATGCTGAATGAATTTGAATATCATCAAAATACATTATCCTTCCCCATAATGTGCTCCCTGCGATCCGCTCTGTCCTCGCGCATTTGGAAAAGAACTGTAAGGACTTTGATATTTTGTGTGCATATGCTAGCAATGCGGCATTATATAAAAACTAAAAGAAAGTATTGTTCTTAAGTTTTCTTTATTTTTGAGAGTTTTATATATGTACACAACAAAATACAGTCATATCTACTATCTTGCACCACCTCTGTATCTTTGCATATCTCCAAACACATTCCTCTCCTAATTTCAAGTCCTTTTTTCAAAACCCAATAAATCGAGCTTGTGCAACATGTATGTGCATGTTGTATGAGGCCATGGACTAGAGCATGGGGCACCTACTAGTGGATTCATCATCAAATGATGATGATGATGATGATGATGATGATGATGATGGTGGTGGTGGTGGTGGTGATTCTTCCTCACCCAGCAACTATGTACTATCAATAGTTCCTCAGAAGGTGTGGGAAAGGGAGATTGGCATGATATTGCTTGGGTCCTGTGCAGGTAATTCCAGTTAGTTCATGTGTGTGATAGCTAGGTCATGCCCCGAAGACAGCATTTCAAGCATTCCTTCCCATCACCAAGCCCTTACATTCTCCCTACCTCCCTCTCTGCAGGGCACTGTGGGCCTTGGGAGAGAAGCTTGATTTCTATGCTCCATTTAAGACAGTTTCCTTTTCTGAGCACTTTGACAAGCTATGCTTCTCTCTGCTGACTGCTGCCCATAACAGACACCTACCTCTCTGACCAGGACTGACAATAGCCTAGGTCTATAGATGTAAACTGTTGGCCCAACAGTTAGGCAGAGCACAGAAGTGTAGGCTGAGTGAAAAACATATTATTATTTTTAAATGATAATAATGAAGTTTTTAATAAGAAAGTTGTGTGTGAGTATTTAAAACCAAGAGAAACATTCACACAATGATTGGCAGTGATATATAATTAATGAAGTTTCCTTCTTTGAATATTTATCATTGATCAGGCAAAACTATAGAGATGTAGATTAAAATCATACTTCTACTGGTGAAAACATATCTTATATTTTTGTTGATTATGTTCCTTTTTGTGGGGGTTGCATCACATGTGAAGGTCAAAAGGCAACTTGTGGAAATAGATTCTCTCCTGACATGTGAACCCTGAAGATCAGACTCAGGTTATCAGTTTAAGGAGCAAGCACATTTGATTATTAAGCCCTGGCCCCTATCTATCTCTTAACAACATGCCTTTTAATCTTCTCTTTCTTTCCCTTCCCTTCTCTTCTCTCCTCTCCCCTCCCCTTCCTCTGTTTTCCTCCTCTTTCTTTCCTCCTACCCTGACACAATGTGAAGGCTACAAAAATTATTAGACACACTTTAATGTGCAAAGATGAAACGATAACTGTTTTTCAAAGGAATTGCTAATCTTGCAGGTACCACAGGAGATGTAATAACTCCCACATAGATACGGGAGAGGCTTACAAAGTCCTATCCCTAGCATGGAGCTGTCATCAATTTTTAGCTGCTATGGGAGGGAAAGACAATTTTCTTTAAGAATGTAACCTCTGGCAAGTTGACCATACCTCATGGGAAGACCACACATTCACAGACTATTTATGAAGCACAAATTCATCTTCAGAATTAAAATTTTCTTTAAGCACACAAAGTAAGATAGATAGGAAAGAGGGGTGAATCTTGGAAATTTTGAGAAGGGATAAACATGATCAAAAGATGTTTTACAATACTCTCAAAGAACTAATTTAGAAAGGTATGATAAAAGATATATGCTATAAAAGTGTTAGTTTATAATGTTTTGGTGGAAGCGGACAGCAGGATATAGATGTTTCACTGAGATGCTAACACATGTCTTAGTCTTGTGTGTATAAAAAGTGAAACATTCGCAAGAAATTGGTACATGTAAGAGAGGAGAGAGCAGAGAAATAGGTATTTCTAACAAAAGAAATAAAAGCTGAGATATGAGGGTTTCTGTGTTACACAATTGAGTCTCTGATACAAAGCAAGTGAGACTAATAAAGTTTATCAAAGCTATAGACAAACGGAACTAGAGGTACCCAACACAGAGGAGCGTCAAAAAATAATCATTACTAAAACAATTGTTGTTTAATAAACAATAAAATAATTCTGTTAAAGTAATTCTTACCACCCCACTTTTAAATTCTATAAACAGAATAGAATATATAATATTTTAGCTTTACAAACCTTTACATGTCCATGTATAAGTAAATGAACATATAAATATATATCTTAGTGATGCATTGCAATTATCAAAATGAAGGACTTTCTGTGTGTACTCTTGAGTTCAATGAATAATAATTAAACATTATAGAAAACTGAAGAACATGTAGATATTAAAATACCATTTGGCTCTATTCTGGCAGGTAAATTATGGGATACATAAACTGTTACAAAGCCAATAGAGCAACCCCCAGGGAACGTCCTTAAGGATGAGGTGGACCCAGTAAAAGTGGCAAGGGTAAGGTACTGATGATGAGCAGTTATAAAATATATATCAGACTGACTTTCATCATCGATTACTCTCTGGTTCTAGATCATTCCACATCCTTCCAAAATGTAAGCTTACAGTCAAGTTATAATATATAATATACTATTATACTTGGGATCATAAAAACACAAATGGTAAAATTGCTATGATTTCATAACTACCTGACCATATTATGATAGCTATTTTTCCCTTGTAAGTGATATTAAAACTTGGTCATGGAAAAGAGGAAGGAGGCAGAGGTCATGTGAAGGAGAAGGGGAGGCTACTGCCTAACATACAGTGAAGTCTGGAATCCCTTTACTCCTGCATCACCCTGAAGAATGTGCAAAAGTGGTCCTGTTTCTCTTTACCTCTATGTTTGACAGGTTCTATAGGTCAGGGGTTTGCAAATGAACATGTATCTTAGTGTATCAAATTTCTGTTGCTAAGGAAATAAGATAATGAGTAAAAAAGAAATGACGAGAAACAATGTAGGTCACTCATGGTTTATCCAGCAGAGGTTAAATAGACATTTAACAAATCAGAGATATTTTCTATAACTGGTCTTCACTACGTTTAAATTCTGAAAAAAGAAAATATTTGGTAGCAGAATCTGATCCATTTTTGCCTTCCTTCAGGTTCTACTCACCACCAACATTTTAAGAATTCCGTATGGGTTTTACAATGAACGAATGAGTCATAGTCTAAATTTTACTGCAGGTCAACGAGTCTGATCCTTCATAGGCAGCATCAGACTGGAGGCCTGCCTCCACGAGAGCTCTGTGTGATTTAACTCGGAGGTATTTTTACCAACAGCAGACAACTTTTGAACTAAGACAAAATGGAATATTCTATGAGCTGTCACTATCAGCACTTTTTAAACAGGCAATCATTCTTCATCCTGGCTTTCTGAGTATTTCACATGACCTTCGGTAACAAGCCCAGCTTTCCCACTGTCCTGCCAGGTGGATTTATATTGGACCTAGTTAAAGAGTATATTGACAATAAATATATTCTCAAGAATCTTTCATGGGAACTTAAAATAGATAAAACATTTTGACCCCAGCATTAAAAGTCATTAGAAAATGCTGAAAAGTTCATTTTATCTATCATCCATATATCTATCGTCATCTACCTATATGTGTGTATATTTGTGTATGTGTATTATATGCATGCATAGAGAGATGTACTTATTAACATGTATGCATGGCTTTTGGAATAACTATATTCCTTAGAAAAAGAAATAGAATATTATTTTTTTCAAAACTCTGTAAATGAATTGAGTTCAGATTGACAGTTCTGTTCAGAGAATAAAAACAAATGTTCTCTTGCAGATTCAAAAAGTGTTTACTAATCACTCTAAATGTTATTCCTCTTTTTAATGTATTCTGAAAATATCTTAGCAATCAGCAACATATTATTGTTGTAATGACAGCTGAGGAGGCAACAGAAATCCTCTCCGTGGTATAAAATCAGGGAACTTGTGGACAGCTGGAAGAGCAGGACAGAACATTTTGTTTAGAAATAATATATAAGGTGTCCCCGGATCACGGGCACTTCATTCTAGCCATTTATTCCAAAATTCTAAATTTACATCTGAAGTAACCTTTTATCCGGCACAAAAACAGAATACAATCACCCGCAACAGTAAATTAACCCACCTGTGTGCGTATAATGTGTGGCTTTAAATACAGCACTAAATTACCCATCCTCGGTAGAGAAAGAACGGACTCTGATTCATAGAGCAGGTAACAAACCTAAGGCTCTCAATCATGGCTGAGAGAATTTACGTGCGCGGCAGACATTCACTCTCAGTAGAAGGTCATCACTTCACAGCCTGGGAAATAATCCCTGCCCGCCGACTTGCAAAGTGCCTGAGGCATCACTCCTGAGAGGCATAACTCGACTTCTTTCAAGGCTAGAGGTCAGAGCCATGATCACAGCTCCATCAAATTTAAAGGAAAAAGTATCTAGGGTCAAAAATATCCTGAAGGGGAAAAAAAAGAATACTGAAATTCAAAAAAAAAAAAGAAAGAAAGAAAAATATGTTGTGCTCCTCTGGGCTTTGGCAAGGTGATGGAACAACCTGTTGCAGAATATTAAATGTAGATTTTTTTTTCATCTGAAGGCTTCAAAAATAACTGAACTAAAACTGAATACAGAATCTGATAGATGTCACGCTACAGTCAGTTTTGAGGACATTTTAAAATGCGACAAATCCATTTAAATGCTCATCATCCTAGACAGTCTAAAAACGAAAAAAAAAATAGATCAAGTGTAAGTGACTTACACACGGAATGTGAGCGGCAGCTTGGGGATGAAATTACTGCATCAATTAACTCGAGGACACAGAAGGAATGCTGCTCTTTCAAGCAATGGTAATTTTGTCTCTGATCAGACAAATTCCTCCTTGCATCATGGTTGCTGCTTCATAAACCATAACTCGTACAGCACACGTAGAGAGATGATCTGTAAATAAAAATAAAGTGATGTTTGGGACCTAAACGCATGAACTAAATTGATGTGTGTGTGAAAAATACAGTCATTTCCATGTACTTCCGAGAGTGAAACACTGAAAATTGTTTTGGAACACCGTAAGACAGATGAAATCACCATTAAAATGAACAAAAGTGGCTTGGTACCCATAAAAAAACATAAGTGAGTGCATCTAAAGATTAAGGGCGCTTCTGGATGTTACACACTGCAAAGGGTAAGATGCTTTATTCTGGTCATCTCCACTGACTGCTATTACATGCTGTCATTTTCAGTAAAGGCAAAGGTGTTTGCAAGAGCAGAGGGAACAGGGGAGGCCTTCATGCAGAGAAGCTGGGAAGTGCTGAGTGAGCCCTGTCATCACTTGTCCAGCCAGGACTCCTGAATATCAGAACTTGAGGTCAAGATTTTATGGTGTGTTTTTCTCATACGTCTGACACTAGCACACTCTGCTACTACCCCCTTACCATGCAGTGTATTCGACTTACTTTTCCTATTTTGTATTAATGGCCTGATTCTACAGAGGGGAGGAAGCACTCTGGCAAAGAGGTTGCCCTGTACTCTTACTGGCCTTCAAAACTTAGTTCAGAGGTCATCTCGTTGCTGTGTTCTGTACTGCTAAGAGACTATACTGTGCGCAGTGTGGGGCTAAGTTAAACCTGACTTCATGGCTTATTATCCAAAGTTTTATTTCTTGCTCACACAAATCTCTTGAAGAGCTGCCAGCGTTCCCTGATGCCTGTCTTCCAAGGGTGAAGGCCAGTCCTGTATCCTTGTACCTTTATCTTAATGTGCTTCCAGACTGCAATCACAAGGTGACGAAAATGTGTGGAGTCATGTACTGTCCCCTTAGCTGCTTCAGCCAGAAGATCACCACTTGACTGACTTCTGACTATTAACTAAAAATTATCAAACCCCGAGGCCATGCTTCTATGCAAGAGACTTCAGTCACATTTCCTTTGCAGCGGGCCTCTCCAGAAAGGCTGGAGCAAAGATAAACACTGAGTCCCCTAGACCTTTTCTGATCCTTCCCTGTGCATCTATATTTAGTGTGCTCAATAAATTCTCTGATTTTTTAATAGCACAAGCATTTGTTTGTCCCTTAAATTGCTTCATCAGACAAGGAACTTCTTGAGATAGATAGAGATAGAAAGAGAGAGACAGAGAGACAGAGAGACAGAGAGAGACAGAGAGAGAGAGAGAGAGAGAGAGAGAGAGCGAGAGAGCGAGAGAGAGCGAGATTTCACTACCTAATTTATACAAACATAAAGTCAACATAACCACGGAAAATCAAGTGAATGGTAAAAGTTATTTGAGAGAGTGTGGTAGCCATATCCTAACTGTGCCAGATTTAATATGAAGACAGTCATGTGCTCAACATCAACAAACACTGACTGAATGCTTCTTCTATGTCAAGTGAAAACTGTACAAAAAGAAAGAGTCAATGAGAAAGATGAGGGTGTCCTTAAGCGGTAGTTACAGCCTAATTGGGAAGTGCACTGTATAAACATCAGACACAAGAAAATGTAAAAGAGAATAATAAAATAACAATAGGAACTTATTTTGGTTTCTCTTCCTGCTGGTATGATGAAATGCATGACAAGGACAACTTAAGGACGGAAAGGGTTTATTCTAGTGCACAGTTCAAGGGTGAACCACCAGGACACCGAAGTCAAAGCAACAGACAGTTTAGACTGCTGCTCACAACCCATCACAGTTTGGAAGAAAAGTGTAATGTATTCAACATTACTGCTCAGCTTCCTTTCTCACTTTACATACTTCAGGAGCCCAGCAAGGGAACAGTGCCACCCACAAGAGTGGGCATTGCCACCTCGATTAATGCAGTCCAAAAAATTTTCCACACAAGTGCATAGGTGTCTATTTCCCAAGTGGTTCTAGAATGTAGGGAATATTTTTAGATGGCATTTTAACTTATATATAAATGGCAAGATCTTGTAATTAGAAAATCCCAGGGGAAGATGATTATGAGAGAGTAGTTAGATCCAAGGTTATTAGATCAGGGCAAACCTGGCATATTCCAAATCATAATATGTGCATTCCTCAATCTGTAGTAGCTCTCCTATGTTGCATATGATGATATATTAAAAATTAGAAAACTCTAATTAGAAAAATCATTTATTTGCAGCTACATGTCAAACTATGTTGTACTAAGGACCACATGGAGTCACAAAGATATTACTGATCATGAAGGAAACACTAAGTATGTGAGGTGCTGAGTGAATGTGTGCTATTGACATGAGCTGATCATGTAATGAACCCTAACTTCATATCCGTGGAAAAATGGCAAAGCCTTCTTCCAAGGTATGAGACTTGGAGAAATAGCAAAATCTTTCCACAGAAGTGAAGCTCAGAGAGATGGCAGAGCCTTCATCTAATCCATGTGCAGAAGATTTTAGTGTGTGCAGTAAATGTTCATCATAGCTTCCCTTCCCTACATACTTATGACTTTAAGGCTGCTCCCTACTGAAGCTGCTCCTCCAGACATGAGTTAACCTCGTCTCCTTGTTCAGCTTTAAGTAATAACTTCACCCCCGTTCAGCTGCATGTGATGCACACTGAGCTCACCAGTGCTACAGTTTCTCAATTGGGGTGGGGGGCTGTCCACCTGACCTCACATTTTCTGTTCTCAGGTATGAGTGCATTGGTTATCCCTTCATGTTCATACTGCCCCAGTCAGGTTCATTTTGGGAGCCACACTGGATGTAGCAAGTGACACCAGAAAAGGGATAAGGATGTAGGCATTGGCAGTGGCGAGTTCTTATCCATCAGATGGGGAAGCAAGCCCAAGAGAAGCACTCTTAGACAGTAAAAGAATGAAAGGAAAAGGAAGAAATAAAGGGAAAGGAAGGGATCAAAGCAGAGAAGGAACGAAGGACAGAGAATCAAATACAAGCATAAGGAAGCACATCTTGGCGTGTAGGTGTCAGGAACATCAGACAAACAGAATCTAGAGATAGGTCATCATATGTCAGTACTGTGAGAGACTTAGAGAAACTATGGGTGCAGAGTAAAGCATTACAGGTAAATCCACTCTTAGATTATGTTCAGTCAAGTTAGCTTGACTTATTTCTAGACAGCTTTTCCTAACTTAATTTATCCCATCTACCTTTTGCCTCAGGGTTTATACCTTTCTCTCTCTCTTTCTTTTCTTCTTATTCTGTGGTTGGCTGTGTTGCTGTGTTGCTGACCCCTGGCATCCTCCTTTCCTCTCTTCTCACATCTATCTCTCTCTTTATTTTTTTGGTGTAGGAGGTTCTTCTGTTTGTGTGCTGCTTTCATTGGTTGAATAAAGAGACTGCCTTGACCTTTTGATAGGGCAGCCCTTAGGTGGGTGGAGTAGACAGAACAGAATTCTGGAAAGAAGGGAAGTGTGGCAGACGCCATGAATCTCTGACCTGAGCCAGTCGTAGGTTAGAATATTGCTGGTAAGCCACAGTCACGTGGTGAAGCACAGATTTAATAGAAATAGGTTAATCAAGATGTGAGAGTTAGTCATTAAGAGGCTAGAGATAATGGGCCAGGCAGTAATTTAATTAATACAGTTTCTATATGGTTATTTTGGAGGGTAAAGCTAGCCAGGCGGGCCTGGACTAGCAGGCTGCCACTTCTCCACTACAGCAGAGTGCCCAATGTGATGGACTAAATCCACTTAAAAACCTGAGAGAGCTCAAAAAGGAGAGAAAGAGAGAGTTTAACACAGCTTTTTGCTGTTTGCTGGTGGCATGCTGCAGAAAGAATTTCCTGACTCAGCAGCCCTACCAAAAAAAAAAAAAAAAAAACCACACCATTTTAAAATGCGGTTTCCAGGGCTGTGCTGCCAGTGCGAACTCTGGCTATAAAACATTTCAATGACATTTGTGGGACCCGGGTGTTTCTGTGCCCACTAGGTTTGGGAGGAAACTGGATGAGACCATGCTTATGACTCAGCACTCCCTGGCTGAGGTGGCAGGATCAGGTTTGCTAGGTGTGCACAAGCAGGAGAGCATGGCAGATGTCTGCCGACATACAGAGAGATGTTTCCAGGCTGCTCAGTGCTCTGCATGGTAGATTTGGCTATAACTCAGATTAAGAAAAAATATTTATGCACTGCACACTCATTCTCAGAGTTAAAGTGTTGAGTGTGGTTCCTACCTGGCAGCCCCAGAGCTAGCAGAATTGGTACATCCACCATTTTGAAATTGGAAAGATGTGGAGCTAACATGCAAAGCAGCCGTAACTAAGCTGCTTAACATTTTAAAAGCTCTTCAAGACAGTAGAGAATTCAAGAAAATACAATAGGAGAGATTCAGACATAAAAGACCTCTGAATTGGTCATGGTGTTAGATAAACCATGTAGGCTTGGGAGAGAAAAGATAAAGAGTATACAGAGTCATAATATAAAGTTAACGCTTTAAAAAAAGACACAGAGTACAGATAGTCATAGACTAAAAAAAGTAAGTCATGTAAAAATGGAAAACTCACAAAGAGTCTGTATTCTCTGTATTATTGTGTTTTCTTTGAATTTTTTGACTGTAAAGGAGCTAAATGCAGAGAGACCTTTCATTATATGGGCTGCCAAGCTAAACCAGCATGGATATTATAAAGGTATTATAACTTCAGAATTTGGGTCTAAGGATATGATGCTTTGGAAAAGAGGTTCTTCTTTTGTTTTCACAGAGGATGAGACCCTGTGGGTTGCTTCTAGACCAATATGGTATGATAGATCACGCCCTCCTGAAAGGTTGCCTTAAACACCCTCAGAAAATTAATTCGCTCAACTGGTGACTGAGATGAACCTAGCACATAAGATACACCATGAAAGACCTGATTAACATCGCCCCCATAGAGCAGGAAGAAGTTTGGAGAGAAAAAAACTGCGCCCATATTCCCAAATAATGTTTATAAATGTTCTTTACATTTAAAGGGGGATATGATATTATATACATATATATTAATTCATATGATATAATATATTC